TTTAGAGGAAAACAACTGGTGCAGTATGGTATCCAGCTGCCTCTCCAGCCACTGGTAATGCATTTGTGAAGGTGCTGACACATTAAGCTAGGCTCCCCTTATCGCAGAGCAGCCACCAAATGGCATTCTTACAGTATTAACTTTCTGTCACTTCCAGCTCGAGATGCAACCTGGAGTAAAAGGCTTCATATCACCCCATCAGCTCCCTGAACCACTCCCTCCCAACATGCATGTTAATTACGTGCCTTCATTTTACAGTTCACAGCTGAGAAAAAGGATGGACTTCTGGCAATATTCTTTCAAATGAAAATAAAATATTTACATGGTCAAACTAAAAGCTAATAAATCCAAGTTTCCAGAAACTTCAGCTTTTGAGGAGCACAGAGACTGCGGGCAGGTACACTGCAGAACTCTTCCTCCCTCATGTAGCTGTTAGCATTTAAACTAGTGGTTACATTTGCTAATTGAAGCAAAAATGAAACCATTCTGTCTCCTTGAAGACTTGGCTCTTCTTTGTACCTGTGTGCTGCATGCACTAATAGACTATCTCCCTTCCACTAAAAGAAAACCAAAACCAATACAGATTTCTACAATTTATAAGCTATTGTAGTCACCCACGGCCCTGCTGACAGGCTGGCATAGGGATGGATGCTCAGGGGCTCAGACAGCAGCTGGCAGCCTTGTGCCCATCCCTGTCCTGGGGCCAGGCTGGACAGAGAGAGCTCCCCTTCCTGGCCCCACAACAGGAGGCAGAGAGCAGAGCTGCTGTGTGGAGTTGCAAACCACAGCCAAAATAAATATCCCAACATGGCATGCTAGGCTTCAGGTCACTTGTTATACATCTAAAATAACAGAGAATCACAAGTATTACAAATCTTACTGAATAATTATAAATCAATGTATTTATTTGTGGCCAGTCTGACCCATGAAGATGAGTGTTGACTTTTTAATTGATAAATGTGACTTTTTATCTCTGCTAATTGCAGATACCAGCACCAGTCGTGCACCCTCCCATAGAGGCCCATTTGCTGCTCTGCCCAGAGGTGCTCCAGAGCCTGGGGCAGGAGCAGAGGAGCAGGGCTGCCGACCCCAGAGGGAGGAAGGGGCTGCTGGCAGCCTGAGCACACTGGGAAAAAGTATCTTTATCACTGGGAAAGCAGAGAATGCTAAAAGAGCTAAACCTCCCTTTGCCCAAATCTTTTTTTTTTTTTTTTTGGTTTGGTTTGGTTTTTTAAGGGGGGAAGAAGGCGAGGGGGGGAGGCAAAAATGCTGACCTTAATTAATGGAAGGCCCACTAGACCCGAAGGAAAAGGTTTGGCTCTCAAGACCTAGGCCTCCCCCTGCGCCTCTCCTGGGTGTAATGAGAGAGCTCAGCTTCATTACTGGCAGCTGAGGGGAAGGGTCACTGGGGCTGGATTTGCAGGGCCCTCATTGAGGGATCACTCCATGCTGAGAGGAGCTGGCCATGCTCTTGGACACCTGGTCATTAACATTGCTAATTAGCGGCCATTAATCAGGGCCCTGGGTTTTTTGTTGTGTGTCACCGGCTCAGAGGAACCAAGTGAATAAGAAGATTGTTTCATTACCTCCACAAGAGGTGGAATGAAAGCAGTTCCCATCAGCTCAAGATGAGCTGAATTAAGGAAAAGGTTAGACAACAATTTAAGATGAGCTGCTGAGAGGGAGCAGGGGGACCTGAGCTGTCCTCTGAGAGGAAAACCAGTCACCTATAATTAATGCAATCTTCCACAACCAAACCCTAATCACCGTGTGAGCTGTGAGCTTCTCACCAAAAAACTTACCGTTCACATCTGAAGGACTCCAATTTATCTGCTTATGACATTGCGATCTTGGCAAGTTTTATTTTGATGGGATTTTATTACACATATACATCTATACATACACACCTGCATTGATAACTATATGCTCGTATGGTGTGTGTGGGTGGGTGTGCATTTGTTCAATATATTTACCTGAGTCAGCAAGGGTGCTTTTTATACAACCAACCAGGGGGACACAAATCTATTTTAAAATGCATCTATTTTTAAAGATTGTTTTCCTAGTTGTGTATCAAATGTGTATTTATATGTTTGTATTTTCTGTGCAATGGCTGTGAAAGAAGAGAAGAACTCTTGGGGTTTTTTTTTTGTTGTTCTTCAGTGGCAAAATAATTAAAAACAAGTTCTGTTTTGGTAGGTTAAAAATGACATGGGAAAAATGATAGTTATTGGTGTACGCAGGAAAAAGTAAAGAATTTAATTAGCAACCAGATTGTTAAAATGCAGTGTTCTCCTCCCATGCGCTATTGTCCAGCTTTTATGGAACAGGTGCCTAATTTTCCTAATGGGATACATTTTAATTGACAAAGTAGTTTGGTTGCTTTACACCAGTTTTCAGTTTCTTGCTTACTTTTAATATAATCAACTCTTTATTTTTACAAACTCGGATGCCCTCAAGAAAGTAATTAGAAGCAGGTTTTATCTGCCTGTCCCTTTTTATAAACCACTTTTTGATTTCTAAAACCAACTAACCAAAAGCTTGATTTGTTCTGCTGATGTGTGAGAGCCAGTAACTTTTAGTCATATGCACTGAGCATTTCAATCAAGTTGTTTGCATATCCATTCATGTCAGAAAGACTCTCAAAATGGATTACAAACATTTAATTGTAAGGGGAATAAAATAATTAAGGAAGGACAAGTGGAAGTTAAAAATATGCCTAACGTTTCACAACAATTATTGGATCATTCTCATCATGGGGCATAAATTCCTCCTTGTAGATTCAAAGGACTTTATTCATCTAAGGCACACTGCTTTTTGTAATAACAGAAAGTAAAACCATGTTTTTTATGTATGTGATTTTCTTTGTATAGCTGGGAGGTTGGTTAAAAATGTCCATAACACTAATCTTTGGAGCATTTCAGCTGGTCTGGAATTCTATAATATGATTTCTGGGACTTCATGGGAAAGTTGAAGGGAAGGGGAAATTACACAATGAACAGCTGAGAAAAAGTTGCATTCTGGCACAGAATCATGCAAATGGGGCACATTCTTCAGTTTTCTCATGACGGATTGTCTCTGAAACTACTGAGCCAAGTTGCTGAAATGCTAATGAAGGAGAAGCATCAATGAGCAGTGTCATCCTGAGGGCTTCTGAAGGGGACAGAGTAGGAGACAGAGGGAGGGGGCAAGGGGGAAGGAAGGAAGGAAGAAAGAGAGAATGAAAAGAAACCAGGCAGGAGGAGTTTCAAATATTGGGGCTGGCCCACTCTTAAAATCAAATGGAGGGGAAAAAATACAGAGCCATGATGAACTCCGATGAACAAGTTCCTCCTGGCTTATAAAAATGAATAGAAGCCTTTCTGTGCCAGTGAGGTTGACTCATGAGGGGAAGCAAGTATGAGTACTAATAAAGTTGGGGGCTACCCTCCTGTTTTATGCATGCATGAGATGAGCGTGGAAAGAACAGGATCCAGTTGCAAAATATAGAGGAGTGGTGCTTAATAACAGGTCCGTAACTTGGCTGTGAAAATTGTTACTATTTAGTTTTCTAAAACGTGATTTCCTTATGACACAGACTTTGCTTCTGTTTGTTAAGAAAAACAATTGCTTTTCCCCCAGTAGGTGTCTGAGCTTTATAACCAGATACCCTGACACTTAGCTATGAGCGTTCCTTGAAAATACTGTGCTTATACTTACTATGTCTGGAAGCACACTTTTATTTGACATACTCCACTGGCTCTGTTTCATGAACTTTCAAAATTGCTCCGTTCTCACTCAGAGAGAACTCACTCTCACCCAGCATTACCAACCAAAGACCTCAACAAGATGGTACTATGCTATTTTGACTGTGGTTGGAGGTCCCGTGTCCTCATTGTTGGTGTGGGCAGAAAATCAGTGTCATAAATGTATACGTAGACACGGCAGGAAACCAAAATTTCCAAGTTTGGTCCAGAGCAGTGGACATGTCATGGGACTGGCAAGCTAAAGCCCTAGGTATTGATCTTATCTACAACCTCTGGCAAGTCCCTTCGCCTGTTCTGTCCCCTTCCCATTTTTTCCCTCTAAGAATCTATCTGAATTCCTTGAAATGAAGATGTCTATCCCTTCTGATGTGTTTTTATACTGTCTGCCTGGATGGGGCCTTAGTTCTACTTTGGGGTTGTCTAGATACAAGGAGTGGTAAAAACAGCATGATGTAATTGCACAAAAGTTGAAATTTTTCTGAATGTTTTGGGAATGCCTGTCCCATGTTGGGCCTGTGAACCTTGGTGTGTTACTGTTGTACATCAGTGTGCTTTGGTAGACTGCTTTAATGTTGATGTGTTTATTTTTTTTCACTGCTTTCAGACCTCAGAAGTACTTACAACCTTAGTGTCACAAGCAGATTTTAAACATGTTATCTGTATGTGCATGCACAAATTGCTGGGTGGTGCTTGCCTGCCCAAATACTGTTATTTTTAAGTTTATATTATGTCTTGTAGCATTACTATAGCATCTAAAAGCACTAGACACAGAGCAGGACTTGTGCAAGCATCAAATAACAAGGATCATCCAGGTGCAGGAGACAGCAGCGAGATGCAGGCAAATGTAGGAGCATGAGAACTCCTGCCTGCAGTCCTGCAGGCAGCAGGTTTGGGGTGGTGCCATCACAATGGCCACACCAGTGATCTAGTCCAACTCTTTGGAATGGTGTTGGTAGGCATCAGTCCAAAGAAGAGCACTGCAGAGAGACAGCATGAAAATGATATTCTCCCTAGTGAAAAACATAGCTCAGTGGTGATTTTGTTTGAGATTGTTATAACTAGGCCATAAGGATCAGACCTCACCTGGCAATGGATGGGCCCATTGATACTTAAAAAGCAAAAGCGTATAAGCAAACCTCTGTCCCTGCAGACATCTTCCAGAGGTCAGCCAGAGCAGTAACCAAAGACTGTGCAAAACCAGACATTTACTCCTTTTTCATTGCTGGGTGTTCTAAAATTGTCTTCCTACCTCTGCAGGTGTTGTGGGACTTCTCACCTTCTGGAAATCCTGCTTGCACGGCTGCTTCATTCCACTGTTTTCCCAGATTGATGCTTTACCTTACTGATTTGCTGTGGAAGGATTACCATCGCAGCTTGTCCGCACTGCTCAAACGTGGTAAGTGCAGAGATGAAAATATGAGCTCATTTCTTTAGAGAGACTGTGTAGTTCTGAAACTACTGGAAAGTATGTATACATTGGGAGGGGGAAGAGAGAAAAGCTGTTTAGGTTTTATTGCTTTGATTTGAATAAAAAAGAGATTCTTCTGTAAGAGCTGGAGGTTCTTGGGTACTTAAGGTTTTACAGTATTCTATCCAAGCAGCACTGGAACAGTAAATAAATGAATAGCAAACCAGAATGCAGGGTAGGTGATTACTGCAAAGACAGTCCTGTATGTATATATATATTTTATATCAATATATAAATAAACACAGATGAAAAAGAAAAACCTGAAAGCCCAACTAAGGCTATAGGCTGGTTCCAACAAGAGAGCAGCGTGTATATCGGCACCCAAAGTTTTGATTGTATCTGCTCAGAAGAGTTGAAGAACTTTGTTTATATATCAAACTGATTTTTTTTCAATTTCTGATATCTCTGAAACAAGGACTTTCGCTCAAAAGGTCACCTCAAATGCCATATTGTGCACAGCAGTGTGATTACAAGAAGTAGGAGATCCTAAAACGCAGTGACAGTCCCCAACATGCCTAATTGTGCTCCAGCTCATATAGTGGAGAGGACCACCCACAGTCCATAACAGCCATAATGGAAAATTGTATGGACCATTCTAGCTAGGCATAATTGGATGGGCAAGAAATCATGTTTTCCAACTTTTGGAGCTGTTTATTTGATCTATTTTAATTTATTCGAGATGGAATAATATGTTTCTTAAGGAAATATTCAGGCATAGTAACTTTTTAGCATAATGAATCTCATCTTCAGGAGCGTCTCTAAGATGTTCACATTTCTAATGGCAAGGAATAAGATCTCTTTAGACATAATTGATTAAATTCACGGTAGTCGTACAACTGACAGTACTTTTGCTGAACCAGTTGAACTGTTTGAAAGTTTTATATGAAGCTACGTAGGTTTTTTTCATACCATACCATTTGACCTGCTATATTCCATTCTGCCAGCCTGCAGTTTACTTCTTCTGACGTATCCTTAATGCAAGTCCTGGTGTGCCACTGTCACCTTGAATTATGTTTATTTTGAAAGTTTGTGGACATCCCTGTTGTGCCCCCTAGGGGAAAGCACTTGGGGACTGACTGCTGAGAATCTGCATTGGAGTGTTTACTTTGCTGGAAGTCCAGCAGCTCTGTGGGCTGAAACTTGAGAGGAGGCTACCAAGTCTGCTTTAGAAACAAATGGGACTTGAGCCATGCGACTTCCTAGGCAACATACTAGAGCTCAGGGCTGTTATGTTAATTCAGGCAAGTATCCATTTATGGGACAACGTAATGATGGCAGTTTGTGCCAGTGCAGTTTGTTTTGGATGGATTATTGTCCATGGTGCCACTGGGTTCTGACAACACTCTTAAAAGTGCAGTTGGCCTGCAAATATCAGCTGAAAGTTTATGCCATACCAATTTTGGAGGGACTGAAAAAGCCATAAAAAAGTGCAAAACTCAACATCCTGACATATGGGCTGTGGCCTACGAGAAGCAGGGATTGCCAAAGTGCACTCATACTCTGGCTCTTCGTCATTACCAGAATAAGCCTTTGGCATCTTAGATAGCATGGCTCAGATTAAATCGGCTTTAGACTGTTCTCTTTTACACCCTAGTCACAATTCACTTTTCCATCCCAGAAATAGGTTATTCCCCACTTTTCCAGTACTGCGTCAATCTGGCATAAGCATCTTTAACGCTGTGCAGGCCAAACATAATTTTTCTAACAGCACCCTTACAGGAAGGTTATTGGAGCTGTTGAGTCTCCCAAACCACTTCTTTGCAATGATCAGCACAGATTGTTTTTTTAATCAAAACTTGGAACTGCAGCCTCAGTGAAAGATTTTAGTAACTGCAGTGTTACAGAAGTCACACACAGTGCATTTTCAAGACAAATTGAAAGCATTTCTAGAGATGGAACCAGTACCTGAATCTCCTCTCCACTTACCTCTGCTTAGAAACACACACTGGTCTGTTGGAATCAAGGTGTGTCATCAACATACTTGGGAAAAATCTCATCTGGGCTTCCATGCTGATGGGAATTTCTCTGAGTCAGTGGGAAATCTGCCTTGACTTCATGGCAACTGGATCAGGCTTTCTGCTACTAAATAAAGAAACCTATTTTCTAGGCTATTAGTTCTGCAAAATCTGTTCAAGCTTTTAAAAATAGTAATGCCATCAAACTGACTTTTATTTCTTCATATTCTGGCTTGAAAATCTTACTGAGAAAAAAAACATAAACTCATTAAGGCTTAATTTAAACCAAAAGTTTGGAGCCAAACGTCCATGTTCAGTCTTTTCATTCTGTAAACAGAGTCCTATTAGACCAAGATAACACATAAGGGGTACAGATGATAAACAACGTGTTCATAGGATCTGTGTTCACTCTGAACAGAAGGGAAAAGAAGTGTGTATTTACCAGTAATTAACATTTTAACTAGTGTTTGGTGAAATTCATAATGTGATTAAAAAAATAAGAATTCCTGGATTACAGGGAGAGCAATTACTTAAATAAAAGCTACTGAAAAGTTGTCTAGAGGTATATAATAATAATAAAAAGATCCCTCTCCCCAGTGGGAAATGATTACACAGTAATTCATGCCTCTCAGTCAAATATCAGAAAAGGATCCCATAGACCCATAATTAGCAATGTAACAAGCAGAGCCTTGAGAAAACAAGCTGGTCCTCAAGACACTAATCTTCATTGCTAGCACCCATCCAACAGGCTTCATCTCCAGGAGTGAATGGGGCAGGCAGGACAATAAAAGGACCTAAACTATAGAGCCAGCAGGAAAATTCCCAGTGTTCTACTCTGAGTGGCCTTCAAGGGGGTAGAAGGAGGAGAAGTAGGAGGGGGCCACACAGTTGTGCCCTCCACCCCCATTAAAAAAAAAAAAAAAAAGAATGAAAAAGAAAGGGAAAGAATCCAACTTGCTTCTGCAGAAGCTGCCTAGTGACATACAACTAATTAATATGACTGGTCTTCTGTTTGCAGATCTTGTTATCAGTAAAAATAATAATAAAATGAGCCCTAGCAGTCTGGATATCTGCAATTACAGTGTGAATTGCATGAGAGGATTATATGAAGTGCTCTTGGCGTGGAGGGTGGGGGACCAAGGCGCTTCAACTTGAGAGCAGCAAGCAGCTGCTTTGGGGCTTTGCACCTGCTGCTCACCAGGCTGTTTTCACCTCTAGACGAAAACAGGCTTCCCTCCCTCTCCCTCTGTCTCATTTCTTTTCACACAGTGCACAAATGTAAAAACAGAGAAGGATTTGTATTTATTAAAAAAAAAGAAAAAAGAAGGAGCAAGAAAATCAAATTGTCCTCTTAAAGAAGTTTTGCTGAAGCAAGATGAGAGGCATCTTATGGCAGTGAAGGGGAATCTGAAGATGGAGTGGGGGCCAAAGAGACAGGCAAGCCGGCTCCATTTTAATGCAGAGGCAGCAGACAGAGTGCGATCTGAGATTGGCAAAGTTTCAATGTAAATCCAGGGGGGCAAGGGGGATGGGGCTGGGATGAGAAGAAAGGACTCTTTTACTGTTTCATGCTTCTAAGTCCTGCCGATCAGCATAAGCTCTGCTCGACATTCTGGGAATAGCAATGAGGCACACACAACAATCAAAACACCCTAAATCTGTTTGATGATTCAGACACTTCGTGCATCTGCACCGACAAAATGGGACTTCAATTAAATAACTTGCAGATTTCCACAGAGGGGGGAAAAAGTCGGGGGAACATGAGGATTTTTAATTAGTAACTCCAAATACAAGCCGTTTTTTTAATTAGGTGTTTGCACTACCACTTTATTCTTAAAGGGAGATTTGTAAGCGCGTGGGATTGTTGTGAAAGAAGATCCTGGACAGTTTGTTCCTAACATTTTGTTGCAACCTGCATTTGCTCCTAAACAGCTTTTCTTCAACAAATGAAACTCAGCTACAATTCCAAGCAAGTTGTTCAAATTAAGGCCAAGGGTTTTTTGAAAGCTTTAAGTACATGTGCACGTTCATAAATATATATATATATATATACACACACACACACACACACATGTGTAGCATCCTGGATATGTTCTGAGGATCCTGCAACAGTTTTCCTGTACTTCTGATAGTTCAGAGTACTCTCTGTGGTTAACTTAATTACAGATATACATGTACTGTAGATCATTATATACACAACTGGACAGTATGCAGGGTTTAAATGGGGATAGTGTAAGTTTGTTGCAGAGCCAAAAGAAATTCCCATTTAACGTTACTACGTTACTACACTGCAGTCACCACTTTTATCCAGAGCAAACCACTAATGATTGCAAGCTTCAGATTCTGAAAAACGATGGGTGAAATCTCAGACCCTTTGAAGTCATTGAGTGCTTTTCATTGACTACTGGGGTCAGGATTCACGCTCAAAATCTCCTGAGTGTGTTCTGACATGGCATGGTAATGTACATGTCTCTCTCTCGCACACATGCACTGTGAACTTGCAAAATCTCCCCCTGAAAAAGCATCCTTTCTGTGGCGAGCTGTGATTTTGGAGCCTGTGAGAACAGATCTAGTCATTTGGTAGCGTTGCCAACTTGTGGCATTGGAGTGAGGACACTTCTTTGTTAATTTTTAAATATGACCACAGACAGGAAGCAGCAGCAGTAATGTATTTTTGTGTCTTTATCTAGTTTGTCTTGGACAATTTTTGCTTTGACAAAGTATTTACAATGATGTGGAAGAGATTAGAAGTTGGATTTCTTTCCTCTCCTTTCCTTTTCCTAGCAGGGGTACAGCAGGTCGATCATATAAAGAGGGACTGTGATCATTTATCCAAATGCAAACAAATTGAAGCATGAGGATTTACCACAGACTGACTTTCTTTTTTAAAAATTTATTTCATGTGTTAATACAAAGACTGTTTAGCAGAAGTAGAATGCCAGGATTTGCATATGAATAGGTACCTAAAGATCA